TGTCTCCCTAGTGTAAGAACATGCAAGAGTAAGTGGAACCCAAAACATACAATAGATATTCAGAAAGCAAAAGAAGTTGCTCAAAAGAGGAAACAACTAGGATTAGGGAAAGGAGAAAAGGAAAGAAAAAAGGAAGGGAAAATATAGGTATGTATACAGAAGGGTGCCTGTGATAACTGCACTGCTGACGTCTAATGGTTTATTGAAAGGAACAGTTAATGCTTTATTTATGTATTTATTTTTGACCAATTTTGCATGTTCATATCTGATAATCTGAACAACTAATATGAAGACAACAATATGCAACATAGCAACCATTGTTGAATTCCTATCATCTTGTTTGGCAAAACTCTGTATGGTCTCCGCCACTGCAGACACAAGTGCTCAGACCCCTAATTCCCACTCTTTGGAGATCCAAAGATGGCCCCAGAATTTCTCCCTCCCTGGGGTTGGGTTCTCAGGGCCTCGGGCCTTAACAGCGCCCAACCGCAAGAGCCCAGCCCCTTCCTCTAGCATTGGGATGCCGCACATGAGGGGCTCGGCGTAACTGACTGAGGATGTCACTAAGACCAAGACGGTCTGCAGCCCAAGGGCACACATGGCAGACGGAACCCGGGTGCACTGCCCTTCTTGCCTGGCCTGGCCTCTGCACTCACTGCAGTTTTTCAAAAAACAAAAGTGAATGCCCCTCCCCTGCGAAATCCATGATGAACAAAACATAAAACTTAAAATAAAGACCTGCTGCAGCTTCCCTTTGTTTTACACCCGGGGCTATTCCGTAGTGAGGATGAGTCCTTCCGGGTCAGCTCAGGCTTCCAGCGTCACAGGGCGCTGTGTGCGCCACTCGTGCGTTGGTCAGGGTTGAACGGGTGTGAGAACAGACGGGGCAGTGCGTGACTTTACGTACGGTCCCGGGGCTGGCGTGTGCGCGCGGGCCCGTGCGGTGCTGAGGGGCAAACCCGGACGCTCACACATGCGCAGTACCTGCTCCACCCCTGAGCTGTACATCCCAGTCCTGTGGTTTTGTAAATTGTAAAATTATTATTAATTTTTTCCCACTTATTTCAAAATAATGAGGTCATCCTGAGCAGTGTGCCCAAGCACCCATTTTTACCCTTCCCTCAGGCTGCCAGGGCTGCCAGGACACTGCTTAGGAAGCCCCTGCCTTGTGCCTGTGGTAAAGGCTACGCCGACAAAGCGCAGGGCTGGAGGCAGCAGGGAGTGCGAGTCTCTCAGACCCCAGCCCTCCGCGCCCAGGTTCAGGAGAGCGGCAGGCAATGACAGTGCCTCCCCCGCAGGGTGTGCATCGTCAAGCACTTGGCAAGGCTATGTGACCAGTGAACGTCAGCTGTTTTCACGCTTCTGTGTCTGGTATGACGGTTGTGACGGGCAAATGAATTGATTATGCTTCGATGGTATAATCTACTAATCGAGTGATTTGTCCATTTAACTGATGAGGTGTGGGGGATCCTCTCAGCATGTCACAAAATTTGTCTGAGAGTAATGAAAAGAATGTATTATGCTCCTTCCTTCCCTCCAAGGGATTCTCTGAGCTTTTACAGTCTGATTTGATGGAGTAGGCCACCTTGGACCAATCCAACCCTGACTGTTAAAAGACACTAAGAGTGGAAGTGTCAGCATCTAACAAGGTGCCTCACTGCCGAATACAAACGAGCGTTTACTCTGCCCCCACCGTGCGCGCTGTGCTAGAACGGCAGTGTGATGGTCACTCGGCCCTGGCTTGCCCATGGAGGAGACACACCTCTCTTACAGAACTGCCTCGTTCTCTTAGGAACTATGGTCAGTGGAAGCGAAAACCACAACGTGGTGAGAGTTTGCAGAGCCTGGATGCCGCGCTGGCCCCACAGACCGTCGGTGTCTCCTTTGTGCAGGAATTTTTGGCTAGCAGAGCCAGGACTGAGCCCCGATTAAAGACAACTGAAAATCTGCTGGTGGAGGGGGAGCGCTATTTCCTGTGTTTTCATCAAACGGGTTTTAAGGTGACAAAAGTTCTCACCTTTTCAAGAAGTCCTAAGAAACGAAAGGCTGCTCCAGGAAGCCCATCAGGAAGAAACATATGCTAGGCAAACGCTCTCAGCATTGTCTCAGAACTGAAGAGAGGCTGGGGGCACAAACAATGAACGCGCGCGAATAAACCAGGCCTATAAATTCACTTGCGGAGCAGGAAGGTCAAGCGCTCGGGGCTCTCGATGGCCCGGATGTTGCCTCGCGTCTTCCTCTGCCACTCGGTCCTCTTAGACCTTTTATTCTCTTCCTCCAAATGCTCTCACACGGATGATATTGTTTGAAATCCGCCTGGGATTGGAGACAAAAATGTAGATGCAGTTGTAGAGGCATGAACAGCTGAAGCATGAAACTAATATGATCAAGAAAAGTAACAGAAAAATCCTACAGGCTAGTCAGAAAAAAACAAAAACAATAAAACAAAGATAATGCTGGATCTGAATCCCCTGCTGGGTACATGATCCGGAGGAACCATGTCTGAGGAAAAGTGGTAATTATTCACCCCACCCCTCGTGGCACCCTGCTGGCCGCTGAGAGCACACATTTCCTTCAGGGCACTGCCGGAGCCAGGAGCAAACACGCTGCTCTGCCAGGGCATTCATTTTCTTCCCCACTATCCCTGTGACTTGGCCAGAAGGGGTTTTTGGACCTGGTTCCAAGTCTGAGATCAGACTTGGAACAGAACTCTAGCCCCCTTCGGAGATGCTGCACGCCCAGCTGGATAGCCTGGGCCTCCGAGACAGCACCACTTTATGCTTCCTCTGAGTTATGGCCTCAGTGCCTGCCAGGACTGCCGGCAAGGCCGGTCCCAGAGACCCGCCAAGAGGAAGAGGCGTCAGCAAACACAGGGTGCAGTATGCTACGCTGGCCTCCTCAGAACTCAAAGTTAAAGCAGAACAAAAGGCAGCCTGAGGCTGGGGATGTCACTCAGTGGTAGAGTTCTCTCCTTGCATGCACAAGGCCCTGGGTTCGATCCCCAGCACCAAAAGAAGCAGCCGGAAGTCCCCATGAGACCCGGTCAGCAGCATGGCCCTCCAGGCGTCACTGAAAGTGGCAGTGCCGCGAAGGGACGGCCCTAGAGGAAGTGAAGGCCAGGTAGTCACGTGGCTTTTCTGGGTTGATTCAGAAGTCACTGCCAGAACAGGAAGTTCGAGGTGACCGGTGAGGCCACTGTTCCTAAGTTCTCCCCAGGGAGCTTCCCTTCCTCATGGCCACGGGGTCCCTCCCTTCGCAGGTTCCCCCGGCCCGGCAACAGCCTTGACTTGCAAGCTACTTCCTCCCTGACTTATTTACCCACTTGAAAGTAACAGGAAGAAAAGGGCAGACCTTGAGAATAAGCAACACCTTGCCAAGACGCCCGGTCAAGGCACGGAGGAAGTAAGAAGGCTGCTCCTCCCTCCCGCAAGGCTCAGTGACTCCGGGTTTACTGCTCTCGGGCACACCCAGCAACGTCCCCACCCCGAGCCCGGGGTCCCAGGTGTTTCTTCTCAGAGACTTGACCCCGCCCCCAAGACTTACAAGGACTGTTCTGCCAGCCTCTGTGGCAACTCAGCCATTCTCATAATCAGACCTTCCAACTGACCACAGTCTCCCTGAAGCTGCTGGAAATCAGCCTCTTCCAGAACTGTCTTAGGAGCTTTCTGGTTTCAAAGCTGGAAGCTGGTTGTCCTAGTGTCTTAGTTGCTTTCTCATTGCTGGGACAAAATACCCAACAGCCACAAGTTCAAAGAGGAAAGGTTTACTTTGACCCACAGTGTGTAGAGGTGCAGTCCATAGTCAACTGGCAGGAAGGCAGGGTGGCCTGGCAGAGGGGAAACAGCTCACAGCACGGCGGGCAAGAAGCAGAGCACGCTCAGGGCTCAAGGCAGGAGGGAGATTAGGTAGACAGATAGATAGGTAGATAGATAGATAGATAGGTAGATAGATAGATAGACAGATGATAGACAGATAGATAGACAGATATAGATAGATAGATAGACAGATAGATAGATGATAGACAGATAGAAGGATATAAAGATAGAGAGATATAGAGAGATATACATAGATACATAGATGTATCTCCAGGCCATGGCCACAGCAACCCTCTTCTCCCCTCCGACCCCACCCCCCTCTGTGCTCACCAGTGGACTAATCCAGTATTGCGCACGCATGACCCAGCAACACTCTAACGATCCAGTCACTCCCCAAAGCCCCACCTAAGACGCATGAGGCTTTGAGGGGACATCTAGGTACAGCCCAGCACACCTAGCTTATTTTTAAGGTTTGTGACACAGTTAACAGAAGCCATAGCCTTCCACATGCTCATAACTGCCACGCCAGACAGCGCCAGCACACGGGCACAGCTCCACCCGCCATCTGCACACAGCACCCCGTGCTCCACGGGCGAGGGAACGCTAAGCCAAGTTCAGAGCCGGGTCCTCACCACTCACCACCACAGGTGCTTTGCCACCGCACTGCTGAGCAACCCACCCGAGAAGCGGCTTCCCTCGTACCCCGCACATTCCCCCAAGAACAGACGCCCCGTGGCCCTGTCCTGACATCTGTGCCCTTGGCTCCTCCCTTCCCTTTGACGTGGAAGCCATTTCCTCCCAGAGCAGACCTTTAACCTGGGCTCCCAGAAAGTGGCGCCCTAGTAAGAGGGTCTGTGCACCCGCAGTATCAGGAAGCGCACCCCAGGGAGTGCGGGGAGTCGCGGCAAAACGAAGCGCAGGAGCACCAGCGTCCACCCTGCCGGCGTATCACCGACCTGGGCGCCCCTGAGGGACCGCTTGACTGCTCTGCCACACTGCACTCCCGAGAACCTGCTCCGCGGGGTTTCGGGCTGCGATCGCGTTGGAGCTGCTGGCTCACACGCCCCTTTGCTGTGAGGAGTGGGGCGGGCACGCACTGCAGTGTACACACACAGCGCCCTGGGGGAGGAACAGTGGCCGGGACGGCATCAGGCTGTGCCGGGGCCAGCTCGCGCAGCGTCCTGCAGAGCCGGGCAGGCAGCCGAGGTGGAGAAAATGCGAGATGTAGCAAAGGCATCTGGCACTACGGGTTCTTAAGCTTGAGGTGGAAAAGGCAGACCAGTGCTTGACAGTTCAGAGTGTGGCATCGCAAGCTCTGGGTATGATAAACCCAGAGGTGGAAAGGCGAAGATACGTGAACAGAGATACACGAGTGCTCAGAGCCACGCAAAAGGAACAGTCTCCTCTGGTGCATGCCAGAGAATAAACTACCTGTTTTTCACCTGCATATAAAATATCCACTTTTATATGATCATCCCTCCCCTATGACTAACGGTCACCCAATCTATGAACAAATAGGAAATCTGCAGGCATATCCTTAATAATATTTGTCAGGTCCTTTATTTACCTTGACATGGCACTGAGTTCTTATAAATAAAACAAGTTGTAGGGTTCAGAAAATGGTAAAAATTGATGTTATATTTGTGGGAAGTTGCCTAGAGGCACGCCTGAAAAGCTAGGGTGGAAAATGTAATATCATAGTCAATGAATGCAATGCTCACCACCCACTTCTCTAACATTAGTTATTGCCGAGACCAGCAGTCAGCACATCACGGCTCTCAGGCCAGCCCTTGCCACCACCTGTTATGTAAATAAAGTTTTATTTACACAGCCATGTTCACTTGTGTAAGTTTAGCTGTGGCTGCATTTCTCACCATAGAAGTCGGGGTTGAATAGTAGTGACTGAAACATATGGTCAGCGAAGCATAAAATATTTACTTTTTGGGCTTTTACAGAAGAAGTTTGCCAACCTCTGTCCTAAGCATGCTGAGAGATTTGTCTTAGAGGTAGGATGTCCAACTTAGCAGCAAGTCCAGACTAGCAGCTGATCCCTCGGTCAATAACAAGAAAACTCCATTTGCATGTCCAGTAAGGGCTATGTCTTCCCCTTTCTGTCAGAATTAATCCAAAAGCTGAAACTCTGGTATCATAAACCAGAGATGCCTGTAGTAAAGACCAAGATAAAGGAGAGGTAGAGCTTCTTCCTTTTATTGATTGATTGACTGTTTCTTGATGCAGCATCTTGTTCTGTGGTTAGGCTGACCTTGAGCTCACTTTGTAGCCCAGGCTGGTCTTGAACTCATCACAGTCTTCCTGCTTCGGCCACCCGAGTGCTGGGATTACAGGCGTGAGCTACCGAGCCCCGCTTTCCCTTTAAACAAGAAGGTAATTCTCAGACTCTTCAGGCTAAAGCCATGTTTGGAAAGCTACTCCATACTTAGCCCTGATTAAACTCAAATCATACCCAGGCAATCCCAGATATTTGAGAATACAAAGCAAGTACTAAAGAGCAAAAGGAATTGCCCTATATAAGCTAAATAAATAGCAGGCCTCGCCCTGTATCTGACCAGAGCTCAAGAGCCTGTATGTTCACTACCCTTTATGAAGGTGAGCCCAGTTCTGCCAGCTTCTGAATTCCCCCTTGGGTATAATTCAGGTGTTTTGATGGGTAACCCAACTCCTTCAGGGCCCCAGAGGCCCATTTCATTAGTGCTGTGCGGTAAATAATGCTCCACTATATTTTTATGAGACTCCAACCCAACTTTTACAAGGAAAGCAAGGCAACCAAAAACATTCCTATCGGCAAGCAACAAAATCTAAGGAGATCACGAAATGCCAGAATTTCAGTTTGCTGGTGCACTAGCAGGTATGATTCACCTCAGAACGCCCGTGCTGCGGGACAGACACCGAAGGGCTCCACTGCTCCGCACGCTCAGTTGCCCCACGGGCCAACCGCGCCTCGCAGCCCCGAGTGCAGACAGAGAAAGCTACAGAGTCACCCGCGGTCTGCAGCGCCCCTCATGGGGACGCGCTCCTCGCCGGCGTGCTGGTTTCCGTGCTCTCCCCGTCTGTCCCCTCCGCCTCTGCCCGCAGGCCAGTACTGGGGTGTTTCAAAAACATGCACCCCAACAAAATAATAATAAAAACATGCACCCCAACAAAATAATAATAGAAACATGCACCGAGAATTCCCCTTCCCTACTTTAAAGCTTTGCCACAGCTCCCCTCCCGCCTCGCTTCCCATACAGGCAGTGTCGGTTCCTCAAGGACATGAGACTCTTCAGAAGACCCAGGCCTCAACCACCACCCCTATCGCTGTACCTCCTCCTGCACACGCCAGGTGCGGCCCAGCTGCCACCAGATGTGGCCCTTGTCCTTGGTGGCTGCTGCACGGACTGGGCGTGGCCCAGTGTGGTCAGCGCATGGTCAGCTAGCACTCCACCACAGAGCGAGTCAAGCTTCATTTGGTGAAGGGATTATTACAACCATGATAAGATCTCATCTCACAGGCGGCCTCCTCCAAAAGTCCAGGGGCCTGGACTAAGGTAGCAGTCCCAGGTGGCCCTCAAATGCTCCTATATCACGCAGTCATTCAAGGCCACTTCCGCTGGCTGTGACTGGCAGGACCCCATTCACATTTTGTTCCAGGTGCCTACCCTTAAGGGTCTAGCCTGATGAGCTTTGATTTGATATCTATCTATCTCTCTCTCTCTCTCTCTCTCTCTCTCTCTCTCTCTCTCTCTCTCTGTCTCTCTCTCTGCAACGAGAGGCCCAGAGAATCTGCAGGGAATCAAGAGAGCATTCAACAACATCATTTATTCATTCAATAAACATTTACAGGCGCTTACTTACTATATGCCTTATATCAATGAGGTCACGAGAAACCACTGTGTGTAGTGTGTACACATAGTAGCTACGGGGCACACTGACCACATTCACGCCCTCAGAAAGCTCACAGTACTGTGTTCCCAGTTTTCCCATGTGCTCCGAGGGCTTGGGGGCAAACCTCCGAATATCTCACGTCTGGGGATGCCCAGGTCATTGCAGGGGTGCATGGGAATGAGAAAGAACCCCGGGACCATCAACCCTGTGAGGCCGGAACACCATGCTGCGGTGATGAGCGTAGAGTGACAGCAATTCTAATCCATTCTGAAAAACTGTCACCAAGTTCCCGTCACAAATGCCAGCCTGTCTTTCACAGCTCGGGAGAAACGCGCTCGGGCTGTAAGTGACCACTCATTTCAGAGGTTTAGGGGCTGGGGCTTCTCGGAATCCACAAGAGTAAATGACCATGACTTTCCCTAACTGTGCCGCCCACCTAGTGTGGCCCTGGGTTTTCCTGAGGCAGGACCCCGTGGGCAGAAGGAGGTGTCCTGAGGTAACATTCGGACCCCAGAGGGGACCCCATGAGGTGGGGGTTACAGATACGTCACTGCTGCTAGCCTGCCCTGAGCGTGATTCACAGCTGGTGAATTTGCACTCTTACCCATCAATTACCTTCACAAATACACGCAAGTCCTCCTAAAAGCAAAATATTAAGCCTGTCACATTTTGGACTAAAAGTACTTTTTATCAAAAGAGTAAAAGCTGAAGATAGGAAAATAAGACCATAAAAACATGGCTGGAGCCAGGGCGTGAACAGCCACGGCCTATGAGGGAGGCCTCCTCCTCCGTCTACCAAAACGCCCGCTTCTCCCGCACCAGGCATGGCTCTCACCCGCCCTTCCCCGGCCCTCCTACACGCCTCGCACGCGAGGCCCCAGACCTTGGGCCCAGCCCGGCCGCTCACCCAGGACTGATCATCTTAAGCCGGGCGTCCCGCCGCTGTGTCCGCCCACAGCCTACCGCTCCTCACTGCCCCAGCCCAGGCTGAAGTCCCGTCCCGGCAGCCAGCAGGCAGCCTCGGCTCCCATCACCGGAAAGAGGGCCTTCCCTTTTCTGAGCGTAAATGAAAGTTCCCGATCACTCAGCGCCCGTCCGGAGCTCCGTGAGCAGCAGGCCTCTCCCGAGGGCCCAGTCCACGGGGCGCGACCTCCTGCCGCGAGGAGCACCAGCGCGCCCCCGCCTGGCAGCGACGTTCGCATCGGTCTGTCTTGGCTCTTCCTTACATGCCGAGCTTGCCCGAATGCGGGAACCAAGCATTATTCTTTGCTTCCTTAGCAAGCAAGATGGTGCTGTTGGCACGCCCGCGGAAGAGCAAGGCTCCATTCCTCGTGAGACTAAATCTCCAGCGGGGTCGGGGCCCACCCACGCTTCTGCGGACAGACCTGCCCGCCGCCCCAGGCGTGCGCAGGTGCACGCACCCGCCCTGGCCACCGGGCGCAGAGCCCAGTAGCGTGGCCTAGTCCTCGGTTCCGGGCTCCGGCCACCGCGTGCGGCCAGCCTCCTGCTCGCGCGCGCTGCGGGAGACATGCCCGAGGGCGGTGCAGGTCGTCAGCACAGAGGAGGTGTGAGTGCACGTGCCCGCTCCCCCACCGGAAGTGACGCAGCCCCTCTCCTCCACCGGAAGTAACGCAGCCCCTCCCCCGGAAGTGACGCGGCCCCTCTCCCGCCTTCACCCTCCTTTCCCGGAGTCTGCTTTGGCCTAGAAGACACTTCCATAGCTCTTTTCCTTTAATGAAAAAAAACAAATTAACCTCTGCACATCAACTAAAAATTTCCCAAAGCCTAGAACCTCATTATGCCTCGAGTCCATGAATTATTCACGCTGCATCAAGTGAGAGAGACCAGATTTAATTATGTTCTGAGGGGGCATCTTCCCTAGAGTTAAATGGAAAATATCCTCATTTGTCTACTAAGCTATTTTAAGGACAGGTTATCGTGGGCTTTCTACGGAACGTATGTGCTGAGAAACAAAACAGGGATCACTGCCTGGGCGTAGGGGAAAATTGCACAACCAGAGAGTCCTTCACATATCCACATGCAGTCTTTTTCTAAATTAAACCAGGCGAGAACAACACCGATACCAACACACGCAAACCCTAATAAATTAGCTGCTCCCAATTATTAAGAAGGCAGCCTCAGGTCATAAACATGATTTTGTGAAATTGATCTTA